AAAACAGAAAATACAAATATTGTTAAGGATGCGATTAATTTAAATGCTTAATCTATTGGAAAGGATTGTAAAGTGATGCAACCATTGTGAAAAATAATATAGAGGCTCCTCAAAAAATTAAAAGCAGCCCTGGCCAGACAGCTCACTTGGTTAGAGCATCCTCCTGATGTGTCAAGGTTATGGGTTTGATCCCCAATCAGAGCACATACAAGAATCAACCAATGAATGCATAAATAAGTGAAACAACAAACTGATGTTTCTCTCCCAAACCTTCCTTCCCAACCTGCTTCCCCTTCCTGTCCGTTCCCCTCTCTAAAATTAATAAATGTTTTTAATTTTTAAAAAAGATTTTACTTATTTATTTTTACAGAGGGGAAAGGAGGGAAAAAGAGAGGAAGGGAACATCAATGTGTGGCTGCCTCTCACGTTTCCCCTACTGGGAACCTGGCCTGCAACCAAGGCATGTGCCCTGACTGGGAATCAAACCAGCAACCCTTTGGTTCTCAGGCTAGCACCCAATCCACTGAGCCATACCAGCCGGGGCTTTTCTAAAAAAGTTTAAAGGAAAGAAATACCACAGAACATAGATATTTCACTTCTGGGTATTTACCCAATAGAATTGAAAGCAGGGTCTCTAAGAGTTATTTGTACACTCATGTTCATACCAACATTATTTGCAATAGCCAAGAGGTGAAGCAACTCAAATGTCCATCCTGGATGAGTGGATAAACTAAGTATAATATATAAATACAACAAACTACTATTCAACTTTAAAAAGAAAGGAAATCCTGCCATGATTACAACATGGATGAACCTTGAGAACAGAATGCTAAGTGAAATAAGCCAGTCAACAAAAAGATAAATACTGTATGATTTTACTTATATTAAGTACCTAGAGAAGTCAAATTCTTAAGTAAATGAACTCATGATTCGAGAAAAATATAAAGTATTAATATAACACAATTATTCAAATGGCCTCCTTCTAAAAGATACGTAGTTGAAAATAAGATACTCCAAGCTATATGTTCAAAGTTCACTTTAAAAGATTCTTGCTATTTATAAATTGTTTGCTCAGGCAAAAACCGAAGTTAATTCTGCTAAAAGAATTCAAAATTATGGACTGGAAGAGATTCTTAAGATCTACCCCACTAATTCCAGTGGGGAGCAGAAAGTCTACAATGGCAAAATGAGACAAATAAGGAAAGTAAAGGTAGTTCATAAAGCTAAATCTATTTGATTTTAAAGCAAATACTTTATTCTGAGAGCACATCCTTCATACTTTGAAACTTTCTAACATCATCCATTCAACAAGCCAGTTAAGTGTCAGATACAAGACTACAATGATAAACAAGACAAGAAAAGCTCTCACCCTCAGGGAACCACCTACCTTCTAGTGGTACACTAGAAGTAGTATTTTTTGTACACGTAAGCAGTAGTACAAAAAAGATGATAGGATTTTTTGTCTTTAGTCCTTCACATTCAAAACAAAAACTTGTCAGCCTATGTCACCCTAAATGAGTGGAAAACACTAATCTCCACTCCCTTCCCATTTTATGTAAGAAGGTCCAAAACTACTAAGTAAATCAAAAGCCAGAACCATTTTGTTTCTAAACTCTAATTAAAACACCAAAAAATATTCATGTGCCCTGAGTAGAGATTTGATCATGATTAATTTACAGGACTCCAAATATCTCAGAGAGTAAAAGTTTTCCACTCAACAAGTCCTTCCAACTCTAACAGGATTTGATTTTACTTATGAAACTTGTTACAAAAAGGAGAAAACTGTATTTGAACAATGATTAAAAATAAATTAAAAAAAAAAAAGAAACTTGTTACATCAGCTGAGGACTTACAAGTTTAATGAAAAACTTAAAATCCCCAGGACAGAATTTATCAAGTCCCATGCCAATAAAAGAAATTATACTTACTGGTAAGTGATAAAGCATGCCCCAGTATTTACAGCAAGGAAGAAAAACTGACACAAAAAGTAGTGCCCACAGTAATTTCTGCTTCTGTGGTCCAGAAAGTATAGTAATTCTCTAGAGCATTGCTATTCCATTCACTAAAAGTTTCAGGAGGTTTAAACATACAAAGCAAATGAAAAACAAACAGTGATAATCAGCTAATTAACATTTCAAAAAACAATAACAAAACCTGTTGTTCCAGAGAATAGTCTAGGTTTGACAATAATTGACCTGACAGTTCAGTGTCTTCTCTCACCTCCTCCCCCTCTCTCTACTTCTGCACTAGGGTGGGACATTAAGCACGTAACATGTGCCAGACACCAAGTCCATAAACTTGTTCTCAGGGGTTCAAAAGGCTTTTCCCCACTTAAAAAATAAACACACACATAAAATAAATTTGGAGAAACAAACTTGAAAAAGTAAGATATAACCACCCCCTTTTGTAGATAAAGAAAGTTGAGGCAAAAAGTTAAACAACTTGTCTACACAAAAGTAGAACCAAGATTTGTACCTAACTGCGAAATTTGTAAGCCTTTTACTTTCCCTCCTTCACCTCTGCTCACTCTCCTCCTGAGGGTCTTAAACACCTACATGCAAGTCACTAGATAGAAGATAAAGGATAAAGCAGGAGGAACACAAAAATGTACCAAAAAAACAGTATTTTCTCTAATGTACCAGAAGAATCGGATATAAAAACTACACTGGAAGAGTTTTAAGTACCTTAAAGATTAGACAAAGGGTTATAGAGGTTCAAAGGACTAAGAGAACTTTTTACTGAAAAAAAGAGGAGGAAAACATAAAGCATGTATGTATATTTGAAAAGGCAAAAACATCAACCTGGCTGAAGCAGAGTAATTATATAATAGCAGCTGAATACAGGCTGAAAAGGTAGGACTGGGTCAGATGTTGGAAGGCCTGTTGAAACAAACTCCCTATCTACAGCATCAAGACAGAATTAAACTTTACTTTTCTATATTATCTTCATGAAACACAATTGCACATGCCCTAGTAATTTGAATGAATGTATTATGTACTTCAACTAAAAAAGTCTAAGGCACCACCTGATACAAAGTTGATTAAATGCTGGATCTGAATTCAAATAAGTAATTTTTTTTCCTGTTGATAATCACAGACTACATGGGGGGCGGGGGAAGATACATCATATTGCCAAAATTTTATGCCAACTACTCAGTTATAAGGGAGAAAAAGAATGCACAAATCTCTTCCATAGGATGGTGGGGCAGGGTAGCTGAGCAAAAAGGAATAATTACAATGCTCCACTGTCAGGAAAATTTCCCTTGTGTTGCCAAGACTGATTTAAAAAAAAAAACAAAAAACTACTTTTTCAATGTATTTTTATCCTTAATGTCTTTTTAATCCTGGTTAGAATCTGGGAAAATATTCAATTAGATCACAACTATCCTGAAGCCACTAATAGGAATTTAAAATCCCAAGCATCTACACGATTCAAAACTGCCACTCCCCCCTTGAAATAGAGAACTAAAGACCACCTACGTTGTAAAAAAGACTTCCAGTGTTACCTGGATAACAACATCTAGCAGGTCAGGGTGGGCTGCCCTGTGCTCGCTATTTCCCCTATATCACCCCTACCATCACCACCACAGCAAAAGAAATGTTTATGGAGGTAAAAGATACACCAGCTCCATTTCCTCAGTCCACAAACTATTAAAAGCTGTTAAGATTAAAGAAAAAAAAAAGCACCCCATAAAAACTGAGAGCAAGGTAAGAAGGTACCTTTAAACCAATCAAATTCATATGCTTACATCAGTAAAATTGAAGCTAAAAGGAAACTCTGACTCTAGCCCAAGCCTCTCTTTTTTTATATTAAGAAACTGAGGCCCAGGGCAGTTAAGTGATTTGTCCAGGCATGTGTTTCTCTATAAAGGTGTTAAGTGTCACCAGTCACAGAACTTAATCACATTCTAACACTGTTACTTAAATTTTTATGAGATTAAGTATCTGGTGTGCAAAAAAACCCCACAATCTTCACCTCTTCTGCACTCACTCCCTCACAGCTTTGCCCCAGAACTATAAAGAAAATGATAGATGACTTTCAAACATAGTCTCAAGATTACTCCTCTTTATCTAATTTAAGATAAAGTGAAAGCCTGAAATGCCTAAATTTACCAAGTTCTGACTAAATAAGTGAGTGGATCAACAAAATTTCTGGAGGAATAAAAATATGGAGTATATTACTGCCTTTTTTGGCCAGTTGCCCTTTCTTTTACATTAACATTTCGTCTAGGTTTTTAAAAGAAATTATTGTATGTGCACAACTAGTCCAAATTATCACTTTTGAGAAATTTCGATTTATTAGACAACTTAGCATATCTTTATGTCTCAAAAATAACTTGAAAGTATCTCCCCAGCCTAAATTAACATTAAACACCTAAAACAACCCTCTACCAGGCCACAGTATATTAAAGTCACAAAAAAATAAGAAATGTATTCCTGTAAAAATCTCATTAAAAAGCACTCGGTACCCCATCAGGTATTCCCTTGGCTCACTATTTACTATTCAACTGTCAAAGCATTTGTGGAAGAACCTAGGCGAAAGTTCCGCACCGAGTTCACTAGCTGTGGGCGCATCACATTCATACCAGCACCCCCACATTAACACCAGTTTGCGGAAAAGCAAACAGGCCACATGTCCATGTTTTAACCAATGTTGGTATTAAGTCAACTCCTGTATCGAAGACTTAAAAGAAAAAGGCAGCAGGATGCATATATTTTTTTACCTTATTTAAAAAACCATCATCAGAAATGGTAAGCAACTGGCTTAAGGCAAATTAAACAATTTTGAACGTTCAGGCCACTGTACAAAGCAGTATGGAAGGATTCTTTCTGAAATGACGGGCAAAAGTCCTTTGGCGAGTTTCAAAACTAACGGCTGTATACCACAGCACAAATAACATAAGCTTAATACAAACTACCACGTCGTCGAACCGTTCCTGTTACCACTGCCCAGGTTTTTTAAAACAAGCCTTGAAAACGGAACAATAAAAAGCGTCTCACCGCAAACACAGCACGAGAGGGACTGTCGGAAGTAAGGCAAGAGCCTGTTAATCTCGGTAAACGCCTTGGGGTCTCCGGGGTCGTAGTTGAGCACTAGGCGGCTCGCGGAAATGTAGAGAGCAGTAGCATTCACGGGGTTCATTGCAGACACTTGGACACCGTTGACTCCCGGTTGAAAAAAAATTCCGGATCCAACTTTGTGAGCAGCCAGGGAACAATGGCGAATTTGCAACAATTCGGAGGAAATCAGAGCAGAACCAATGGCCAAAGTAGTAACCAAAATCCGCGCAAGTTTGTGAGGCTGAAGCAATCCTCCCACACATGGGGCCGTGGCGCCCCTCCTCCGTCCCTGAGACTTGCAGACGGGAAAAAAAAAAGTACAGAAACCGGCGTTCGAGTTTGTCCCGGCCGGCCGCGGGGCGCAGAACGTGGAGACTTCGGCACTCGGGCCACGACTTGGAGTTCAGTCTAGCCCCGCGGCTCGGCGGGCGGCCTCGGCTCGAGCTGCATCTCCGGGCGCGGAGCTACCTCCTCAGGTCGAGCTGGGTGGGAGCAGGCCCCGGCCCGGTCCAAGGGGCGAGCACGCGTCTCACTGCCTGCAGGGCCCTTACTCCATCACAGCGCCTGGCGCGGAGGCAGCAGCGACAGCAAGGACGACAGCTCAGGCGTCAGCTTCCTCGATCTAGTGCACGAAGCCGCAGCAGCGACGAATGTTACTGATGCGGCTGGCAGAGGCCGCCGCCACTCTCTCCATATCGGACGCGGGGCTCGAGCTGTGCCTCGCTCTCTGCCCCGGTGGTTACAGCCTCGCTGTTCCCTGAGGTGGCGAAGCGGGAAAGAAAGTCCCGCACCCGGTAGGGGAGGGCCGGGGAGGAAGTGCGCGGGCCGGCCGCGGCGGCGGCGGGAGGGGGCGGGGAGCAGGCCCGGCCGGGCCGCGACGGCGCCCCTCGCTCCTCAGTCGCTCACTTCGAGGTCACCAGGCGCAAGCGCCGCCCCTCACTGCCCGGCCATCATCTCCGCGCCGCACACACGGACACCGCCTCCGCCAAGCACGACGGTCGCCGCGGCCCACGGAGCCCGCCCGGCCACGGTTGAGGCGAACGCTCACACGGCCAGGCCCCGCCGCCGCCGCCCAGCGCACACAGCAGGCCCCGCTGCAGGCCCCTCCCCTCGTGCCTCGCTGCCCTCACCCGGACTCCACGAGCCACTCTAGCTCGGTAGAGCCCAGGTTGGTGCGGCCTTAACGGATCCCACAGATAGTGTAGCACCTCAAGCCCTGCCGGAGACGACGACCGTTACCCCAACGGGCAAAGCCACTGTCATCCCCGAGACTCCCCCGCCGCCGTCGTCGTCGCTGGCGCTCGCACGCATGCGCAGAGCACACTCTCACCCTCCCCCCGCCCTTTCCTTTTCCCTTCGCTTCCCTTTTCCCCTGCTTCTCCTACAAGACCCCCCTCCACGCCCTCCCAGAGCCACCCGCTCACTCAGCGCATGCGCATCCCACTACCAGCTCCGCCGCCTTTCGCCCTTAACGCGTGCGCTTTGACCGCCCACCCAGAAAACCGGATAAACACATCAGCCAGCTCACGCCAGCCCCTCCCCGCTGCCAACCCACCCTGGGCTCACAGCGCATGCCTGGCTCTCTGCTTAGGGCTCAGAACAGAGCATGCTCTATGCGAGCCGCCTGTTCTCTCCGCCCTTCCCCCTTGTGCTCTCAAATTCCCTCTTAGGCGTGTAGGCTGTGGTGAAACCTTCGCTACTTGACCCATCTTTCCCTCTTGTGCTCTGTAGGTTTCTCGCACAAACTGCTTCCTCGGTGCCCGCCAAAGCTCAGACCCGACTAGGTCGCGTTATGTCGCGCTCCTCTCGGACTCCAGCTCAGCCTCTCCGCACCCCGACTGACCACGACGTGAGGAAGTAGCCCCGCGCACCCACAAGTCCCGCCCTCGTGGCCTTTATCCCGGAACGTGGCTTCTTGACCACCGAAAGGGTGGCATCAGCGGTTCGCTCACACTCTCAGCCTGGAAAGCAGGCTTCTGGACCACCGAAAGGGTGGCATCAGCGGTTCGCTCACACTCTCAGCCTGGAAAGCAGGCAGGCGTTCGGGTGGTGCTTGCTAGGTTAGGGCCGCGGCCTTAAGTCGGCCGCAACCTGAGGTCCGGAAGGCCCCGGCCGGCGCTCTGTGAGCTGTGGGGCCCGGCCCGACGCCTTCTCCCGCTAGTCCGACCCGGTCTCTTCACACGGTCTCAGGTCCTTGGAGTCAGGCGAATGCAAGAGGCCCGGCCTTACAGAGGCGCCAAGGAGGACCCCACCGAGCTCCTCTAGGCGAGTCCAGTTTTAAAAAACGAACCCCCTTTTTTTTTTCTTTTAGCTCCGGTAACAGACCTAGCCCTTCTATGTGAATCAGTATCTTAACCCATCGTCCTGCCTTAGAACGAACCCAAATCCTTTCCAGTATTATCTGTTTTTAAACAAGCTTTTGCCTGATGGTTTTGCAGAAGTAAGGACTATGAGACAAACGTCTAACTAACGTACTATTTCTTACCTCTAGATACATCAAAGCTGTTCAGCAGAATTTTTTGCGTACAGTAAATGCTCTACAAGTTTACAAACTAACTTATGACGTATGTAAAATCATTTGCGGCACAAATACATGTTAGTTTTAGGGCCTTGTCGCTTAGAGTAGAAATCAATAGTTAAGAGATTGAGGGAACCTGGACAAATCTCTGATGTATAATTTCTACTACATTTGAGAACAGATTTACTTTCTTTAAGGCCTAGCATATTATCAGCACTTAAGTGTTAAGCCGTAAGGATCTAACTTCCTAATTTTGTTAAGCACCAAAGCAGATATTAAACAAAATTGAGCAAAATATTAATATATTTCGTTGTCTTGTATCTGGAAAATGGCAAGTACTCTAAAATTCACTCTCGTTCTTAAAATCCTCATCTTTTTTTTTTATAAGAAATTGTTTCTGAGCTCACCTTCAAGTAAAACTGTTATAATATACAGTTCTGTTTTTATTCCAAACTCTAAGGTCTTCCACAGCATACAGATTCTTTCCCAAAGGAGCAACAAGAATAAAATAATCAACACTGTTTTCCATTCCGGCAGCATAAATTAGCAGTCACCCCAGACAAGTGATTACTTGCAGCGATTTCACCTTGGTGATTTCCTCATAACTGTATTTTTTTTAATCTCTTGAGATGTGCACAGCCCAAATTAAGATTAATTCTATTGATGGTTCATTTGGGGGATGGAAGGAAATTTAAGCCGGTTCTTTTTTAGCTCCTGAAAGTGTTTGTAACTGGTGATAGGCTATGTGACTTAGAGGCAAAACATTTCCACACTGAAGTATATTATCTGCCTAATAATTATTTGGTTGCTTGAATCTTGCCAAAAAAAAAAAAAGGGAAACACTGTTTATAGAAAATAAAGTGCTTGGAACAAATAATTAGGAGAAATTATATACAACTCAAATCCTTTATTCTATCAACTTAAGGTAATTTTCATAGTTTATGTGTAATTGTTATTTGGAAGTAAAAGTATTAGTGCTGTCAGATCTAACAAAAATACAAAATGCCAGTTTAAATTTTGTAATGATATTTTCATTCTGGAACAGTTTTGGATTTACAGAATTATTACACAGATACTTAAAGTAGTTCTAGTACATTCTACACCCAATTTCCTCTATTATTAATATCTTATAATAGTATAATATATTTGTCACAATTAAGGAACTAATAATACATATAATTAACTAAAATTTATATTTTATTTATGTTCCTTCAGGTTTTTCTCTAATGTCCTTTTCCTGATCCAGGATCCCATGAAGAACCCACAACATTTAACCATGTCTCCTTAGGCTCCTTTTTTTAAAATTTTATTTTATTTTAATTTTTGTTCAAGTATAGTTTTCTTTTACTCACATCCCAGCCCACCCCCTCCAGCCCTCCCCACCTCCTTCCGATTTCCACCGCCCCCCTTAGTCCTTAGGCTCCTTTTGGCATCCAGTTAAATTTTCATTCAGAAAATGTTCCCTTCTAATTGTCTCTATTTCCTACCCATTTTTAATTAAAGCTTCTCATTTCTGCCCTCTAAGATTGTCAAGTGCCTACCTCTCATTGCACTTACCACAGTACATGGCAATTCTTGATTTAGCACTGTCTTCTCCCCATTACATTGTAACTGCTAAAAAGTCAGAGTTTCTCCCTCTTTGCCTTTTATCTTCACTGCCTACCATAGGGCCTGACATGTAATGGGCACTAAGTAATTGTTAAAATAATAATGAATTACTAAAATGCAATAATGTAAAGAAAACCCCCAGTATAGTGTTTGGTACATAATAGGCACAGACCAATGTTTGTTTTTCCTTGGGGAGAGACATAAAATGTCTTGCAAGTTTAAAGACAGTTTTTATTTCAGCTTGATCAATGTCAATTTCTAAAATCTTTAATAAACCAGAAGTGTGGATTGATTTGAATCACTCAAAATAATCAATCAACAAGTATTTATTGCATTCTAGCACTTTGGAGACAATGAAGTAAATGGGAAAGTAGTTGTAGTTATGCTTTCAAAGAACAATGATCAGACCGGGACTTTCTGAGAGGTTAGGCCCTTAAAAAAATTATGAAATAGATGTTTGCCTTTCCCCCCCTCTTTTACTCTCCTTTCTCTGCCCCTTCCTTTTTCTTCCTCCACCAAGAACTCTAGAGATAATGTTCTTTCTCCCATTTTCCTAGGTTGTGTTCTCCCTGACTGCCTAATATCTACTTCACAGCCTTCACCAATATAGCTATCTGATTTGGACTGAAGGTTTCTGTTCCCTCTAAATTCAGATGTTGAAAAGAAATCCCAACCCCCAGTGCAATGGTATTACAAAGTGGAGCCTTTTGGATATAATTAGACCGTGATGGTGCAGCCCTCATAAATGGGTTTAGTACCCTTATTAAAGAGGCCCCAGAGAGCTCTCACACACTGCCGCATGAGGATACAGGGAGAAATCACCCATCTTCAACCAAGAGAGCCCTCATCAGGTGACCATGCTGGCATCCTGGTCTCAGATTTCCAGCATCCAGAACTGTGACAAATGCATGTTTGTTGTTTAAACCACCACAGTTGATAGTATTGTGTTATACCCCCTGAGCTGATGAAAACACCATCCCTATCAAATTTTAATAGTATTTAATATACTGTCATTGTGGAAAGAAATCACTATAATTAACTTCAATCTACCCTTAATTTAAACTCACAGCAAATCTTTGGAGACTGGCCAGAGCAAATACATTTTTACACAGAACAGTAAATCAGATGAAATTAAATCAGAGCCTAATCCAGACCAGACCTTCTATTCTTTGCTGACCAGTCCTCTCTGACTGTTAGCAACTTCCTTTTCCATTTTCTGTTCTTTAGCTGTTGTCAATACCTTCTCCGCCCCTCAGTCCTAGAGCCCCTCAAAAGAATCCCTTTTCTTTGTATATCAATTGTTATGGATAATTTTCTACTCTTTCCCCAAATCAATACATCAGTCCATCCAAAAACATTTATTTAGGCCCTGGCCCTGTAGGTCAATTGGTTGGAGCATCATCCCTATATGCCAAGGTTATAGATTCTATAACTGAACAATTGGAGTCCTGCTGCCTACTGCCTCTCTCTAGGCAAACTTCCAGAGGCAAAGGCTTGGTGATATGGGAATGGAGTCTTTATTCAAAAGCTTCACAATTTTGGAATAACAGCCTTGCACGTTCATTAGTCACTTAAGCCTATCAATTAAGGCTAAACTTTTTAACTCTTTAGTTACATCTTTAATCACTTAGACCTATCAATTAAAGCTAAACCCTAACACCTGAGTTCTTCTATTATTCCCTCCCCCCGCCCATTTGGTTTTATCTTATGTCTATAGGGTTAGTTTACAAACTAAAACAACGTAATACCAAAGCTACACAATTTTGGAAGAATGGCAGGCTTCTGCCTCAGAGGTCATCCCCTCTAGAACACCCAAAGAAGAATAACCCTGCCACCCTCTGCCAGGCCAGTCCAACCCTAGGCTGCATACGGAGTTTCTTCCCATCCAATGTACCATCTGTTGGGAAACACAGGCAGCTGGGGCACAATTGTCCAGACATCTTCAAGGTAGAGGAAAGTCTAAGAGCCCTTCTTTTATTCCAAATCTTCTCACCCACAATTCCATGCCCTCTGGAGGTGTTCAGCTTCTCAGCCAATCCAGTCCTAGACTGTTTACCTTTCCCAGAGCAAACTCCTCCTACATATGGCCCTCCCAACTTCTCCCCAGTGATCTGATCAGCTCTCTATATCAGTGCCATCCCCCGTCAGGGCACATATAGGGATCAACCAATAAATGCATAAGTAAGTGAACAACAAAAATCAATGTTTCTCTATCAATCATTCTCTCTCTCCCTCTTTCTTCCTCTCCCTCTCTTCTAAAAAGAATCAAGAGCAGTTATTTACCAACTCAGCACTCATTTATTTTATATCACAAATAATAAAACTGCTTTCAGCTTCTTCATCCCTAACTCTAGCATAAACAAAACATCTTGATTTATTGGTCATTCACCTAGCACAGTTCCAGACACATATTAAGGTATCCATTAAATGTTACTGTTTTTATTTCCTAAGACGCTTTCAACATTATTCAAATGCCTATTAAACTTGTCCATTCATTTATGCAACCAACATTTATTGCCTGTTATATGCCAGGCATTCAGAATACAAAAATGAATAATTCAACAGTTTCCAGCCCTCAAAGAGTTCACAGTCTAGTTGGGGTAGCAGCAATGTACACAGCTAATTTATAATTCAGAGTGGTGAGGATTTAGAGATGCCTTTGATGCAAACCTAAAATGTCTTAACAAATATTGCTGTTACATTATGGGTTAAACAATCTTGTGTGGACTTTGCTGGAAAAACAGCTGCAATTATTCATAGCATTGTTTCTAAGGAAAAAATGCATTCTGCATTCCAAATAATTTAAAATTAAGTTTTTGGAACACAGCCAGTTTGTCCCTGGGGATTGTCTACTTTTTCATTACTTAAGATCCTTATTGGCCATTTTAAGATTGAATTTACTGGGATGATGTTTGTTCCAGGTGTACAATTCTATAATATCTTCTGTGTATTACATTATGTGTTTAACACCCCAAGTCCAGTCTTCTATCACCATTTATCCCCCCCTTTACCCTTTTCTGCTGCCACTCTCGCTTTCTCTCCAGTAATCACCACACAGTTGTCTGTGTTTATGAGTTATTTTCTTTGCTTAATCCTTTCATCTTTTTCACCCAGACCCCATATTCTCCTCTCTAATAGCTATCAGTCTGTTCTCTGTATCTATGAGTTTATTTCTATTTTCTTTATTACTTGATTTTGTTCATAACATTCCACATATAGGTGAATTCATATTGTACTTGTGTTTCTGACTGACTTACTTCACTTAACATAATGCTATTTAGTTCCATTCATGCTGTCACAAAAGGTAAGATTTCCTTTTTATGGTTGAGTAGTATTCCATTGTGTAAATGTACCACAGTGTTTGTGTCCACTCAGCTACTGATGGGTTCTTGGGCTGCTTCCAAATCTTGGCTATTATAAGTAATGCTGCAATGAACATAGATGTGCATATATTCTTTTGAATCAGTGTTTCAGTGTTCTTCAGATATATCCTCAGAAATAGAATCACTGGAATATAAGGCAGTTCTATTTTTAATTTTTTGATGTAACTCCGTACTGCTTTCCACAGTGTCTGCACCAATCTGTATGTCCACCTACATTGCATAAGGGTTCCCTTTTCTCCACATCCTCAACAACACTTGTTTGTTGATTTATTGATGATAACCATTCTGACAAGTGTGAGGTAATAC